TCAATCTAAATATGTGGAGGAGCCAAGGACCCCACTTGAAGAAAGCATTTCACATCTCCGACATTACTGCGAGCCATATACAAGTTGGTGTCAGGTACAGCTGTTCTAAAAGTGGAGTGACACATTTCGGTCTAGAGTCAAGAGTGAAAAGTCTATATTGGCTGCATGTTTTCAGAAAAAGGCACGATAGAGGGCTCCAACCTTCGAGGGCCTGACTTGCGGTGCTCATCAGTGCCATCTCTGAGGGGAGCAGAGAGCCCTAGCGTCCTGGTGGCAGCTCTTGCCATTGCTGCAGGGAGAATGTCCCTCCTCCCAGGCAGCGTGTGGCACCTTGACTAGAGAGTGGACTGGTAACTATCTTGTTGGTCGCAGCTAGGAAGCCATGATTGTCTCCCAGGGGAGGGTATGGGGCTGGAACTCTAGTAGAAGGAAAAGGATATAATGTAAGCATTTATATCAAAATTGGAAAGTTTTTCTCCCCCCAGAAAGTGTACACATCAGAACCATTTTAACAGGAATGGTTACAGAACATTTTGAATGCTGTAATAGAAGGATGGATATAGCTAAAAAAGTGTGGGATTACGTATTTGAGTACTGAACTATTTGCCCCGTGGAAGCATTTCTGCAATTCTTAACATCTGAAATGGAAGTTTACAATCTACAGAATGCTTTTGTGGGCTTTGACACATAAAGTATTTGCCATACTTGATCTGGATTTCAAAAATTGATGGCAGATTAGTACAAAGTATGTAGTTGTGTGTGACATGGTCTAGCTATACTTTGCTTGAGATTTACAGACTGAATTTTCATCCAGAACTTAAGATTTTCATTTCCATCCTCTGTGCCACTGCTGAACTTCTCTTCACCAATTTAGAAGACAATAGTAAGCATAGACTCTGTCAACAGTATAAATTAGGCCAGTATACTTAAGTATCATAACCATATTATTGAGTTATAAATATCTAAAGACTTTTACATAATGTGTTGTAAAAAGCTTAGACTTTATTCTCTTGTTCTAGAAGATATTTAAACCATCTGCTGGTTAAGATAAGGTCGGCAAATTTGTGCGAATATTTTTCTGTCATGTAGGCATTGACTGCGGTTATTTTGTGCTCTTTTGGGGGGGAGGGTTATAAAAGTACTTTGTCTCTTAACCTTTCAACCTAAGATTGCCTTTTGTTTTTTACTTTTTCATCTGTGCATGATGCTCAGTGCAGCAAAATACCTCTCTAAACGACAGAATAATTATCAACATGTTTATTTGTACTATTTCTAAATAAAAAAGCCATTCTGTGATTACAATGGCTTTATTTTTCTACAGAATGATGTCTTCTTCAATAGAAATATTTCTAATTCCTGGCTCCTTGGGCCAATAATTTCTAGCCCCTTTCTTTCAAAACTAATTTAATTTTCGTTTATAGTGAGAAGATTATGCCAGCAAAAGAAATAGGTCATCACTCTAGACATTTATCTGTAGTTTTTCTTTCTTTTTATGGGTATTAAAATACCAATAATGAATTTTAATGAAGCAGTATTCAATTTTTTAATGTTTTTTATGTCCTCCCCTAAATTCAGTGTTTATTGTTTAAGGGCATTAACAGTATTAGGATAACTTGTTCTGACTTGGACCAAATTAAACAAAACAAATCCTTTTCCAAGTGGCAGCTGGTTCTGATACCTTCTGATGTCCATGTGTCTCTTTTCCTATCTTTATTGTAGACTTCTTTTTTTTTTAGGATTTTATTTATTTATTTGGAGGAGAGAGAGAGAGAGAGCACGAGCATGGGGGGGGGGCAGAGGGAGAGGGAGAAGCAGGCTTCCCGCTGAGCAGGGAGCCCCACACCCTGGGATCATGACCTGAGCCGAAGGCAGACGCTTAACTGACTGAGCCACCCAGGCGCCCGTATTGTAGACTTCGTGAAAGTGGGGTACCTTCTAGCTAGTCCGTTGTTTTCTTTAGGATATATGATGTTCTTGTACAAAGCCATTTTATTGTTGTTGTTAAGAGAATGTTAATACTTCATTTGCTCAGGATTAGGGTAAATATCTCTCAAAACTTGGATATAGACTCCTTTGTCCCATTCAAGGTGGTCATTCCTGAAGGGCAGTTTTCAGATACAGACTCTAAAATCATGACATATAGACTTAATATGAAAGACAGATTTAATCTCACAGGGAGAGGATTGCCACTTTAATTATCAAGGGGGTTGATTTTTGTCTATTCTCTTTGAATCTAATAGAAGAATAAAAAGGCTGGGTTGTTGAAATCACTCTGCTTGTAGTGTTTGCTTCCTGTGGCAATAATAAACTGTTCTGCTGAGCAGTTTGCGGTGAAGGGGAAATTACACAAGAGAAAAAGAACACAAAAAACCCCAGACAGTATATCCCTTTGTTCACGAAGTGTTAATAATATGATAATCTACGCAGTAAAGACAAATATATTTATTGTTACTTTCTAATCAGCATATCCTTCTCATTCATTTTCTTTTTACCTTTTTAGGAAATGTACTCACAAACTAAGCCCAGGATGCAGAGCTTGGTTCAATGGGGATTAGGTAAGTTGATTTTTTAAAATTTTTATTAGGTAAGTTGATTAGGCATAATCAGTTTCTTCATTAATATTGGATTTTTTTAACTGGGATTCCCTGGATGGGCTCCAGGAGATCTGGAAATTCCTTGAAATTGTATGCAGAATATTAGAGCTATGTGGATTTTTCTGGAAAGAAGATCTGTTATTTTCCTCAGATTTCAGAGGACTAGTGTCCCTAAACATTTGGGAAGTCTGTTCAATATCATTAGGATTGTTGGGCTAACAAATTCAGAGATATTGGATGTTTTTTTTCCCTGAAATCTGTTTCCAGGTGCAGTGTCCATGACTCACACTAACCCCCACTAACTCATCAGTAGGTTTTCGGAATCCGGATAACTTATTTGTATGTCTGTTAATACATGTTACAGAAGTTTAGAGGCTAGAAGGAACTGGGCTGGTGTGCCTAGGAAAGACCTTACTGCATGAGTAGTGTTCTTACATTTTTTTTCATTGGGTTTTTATTGTCCTTGATTGTTTTTCACATCCACTTATCCCATACACTCATAAACTTGGTTCACAGTCTACATTCTGACTCATCTCCATCAGAAACTGGTGAATTAATGGACATTGAGTGTGTTTCATTCCCTTTACTGGGCATCTCAGCAAAGAAAAACTCATGTTTTTACAAGTGTTTGCTTCCATGACAGAATAAAACAAGCACGAATACAGTTTATTTCCTTCCGAAGATCATGGAGTGTTGATGGGCTGATACAGGTTATTAACATCCATGAATAATATGTATGTTAATAAGTAACATCTTAGTTTTATTAATTTCATCAGCACTTATTTAGTTTTTATTACATGCCAGGAGCTAGTCTGAGTGCTTTAAAATATTAATTTATGTATAATCCTCATAACCCTGACAGATAGGTGCTTTTATTACCTTCATGTTTTAATCTGAGGAAACTAAAGAACTTCTGATCTCTTGTCATTACATATGTGACTGAGGAGGGCTCTTCATTGTTACCTATCACTTCCCATTGATTCATAGCAATAGGCATTATTTGCAACCTAAGTCCTGTTTTTCGTCTCTTGGACTGGTTACTGCAAAAGCTCTTAAGAAAAAACATTCCATTATGAGTTGTGTTGTTATCTGCCAAGGCGGTCCATCCATTTCCCAGCAGTCACAGCCACGACCCGTTACCAGAAGCCAGGCTGGGGCTTCATCGCAGCCTTTTAGCGTATCTTCTTTCTCATTTCTCTGTGATTTACTCACTTCAGCTCAGCTCACCAAGGCCATCTGGGTGACCTCCTATCAACTGCTCTGTGTGCACGTCTCGAATTAAAAACACTGTGCTGGTAGGCAAAAATAAAGGGAAGTAGAAAATTGCTTCAGATGACCCAGACACCGAGATGGAAAGTGAAAACTAAGTTAAAGGCAAAATAAGTAAAAGGCCAGACAGAAATTCGTGCAAACAGCACAAGCCCTATAGTATTATTTAAAACGATCACCACATTTCCCAAACACCCAGGAAATGGAAAACTGGCATGTGTCTGCTCTTTTCTGGGGGAGAAAATTACCAAGCATTCCAGTTAGTTCGGTTCCACATACATGCCTTCCATGGCAGGCATGGAAGATCACGGCTGATTAAGACAGTGGTCACAACCACCGAGGTGCATATAATACATTTTCAACAGTAGCACAAATACAGAGAAAGTCACAGACCACTGTTGAAGGTGCAGAGGAAGGAGATGAGTTTAATGGAGTTTGGAGGGAGGGGAAGAGTCAGGGAAGGGTTTCTAAGTTGAATCTTAGAGTAGAGTCAACCACACCAAGACATGGGGGTGGAACTTGGCAGCATTCCACACAGAGGACACAGCCCAACCAGGGCTTGGAGGAGTGACTCATTGTTTCCTGAGCCGGAAACTGGAAGCAGATAGCAAGTGCTGAAGATGGGGTTGAGAGTGAGATGTGAAGCGTTTTTAAGTTACAGCCTCTCTGAAACCCATTTGTTAATTCATTCAGTATCCGTCAACACCTAGTAGTGCTTTTAGTAAATATCTGTTGGACGAACATCCACTGTTACCACTGAGGGAAAATAACATAGAAGTCCAAGCAATGTACCATTCAGGAGCATATGTTCTCCTTGAGGAGACATAAAATACACCCCTGAATAATTAAACATAAGGTGCTATATAAGATTACATGCCAAATGAGGGTCCAGAGAATAAATATGATGGGACTTTAGAGGAGAGAGAGAGAGGCGTGGGCTGAGGAGTCTAGGAAAGGCTTTTCTGAGGAGGTTAGGAATGCAGATGGCTCTTACTTCGTGGGATTGGCTCAGTGGACAGGAGAGGAGTCATCATTCAAATGAGGTCATAAGGCATGCTCAGGCATGACACCTAGGCTCACATGCTGCATTTCTTTGTGTTTATCTATCACCAGTGACTATTTCCCGCATATACTTGCACTAACAGTTTCCTTCATTGTCCAGATTTATTCTGTTCTCAATTTCGAAGAATGAATTCAGATGGCAAAGGAAACGTTTTTCCTCTGAGCCTCATGTATTTGATTCCTGAGTTTCAGAGAACAAGCAGCAGAACTTCAAGACAGCGGCAGATCTATCCAAATCTATTCTGTTTCTGTGTTTGGAAGGCGAGGAATCCCTGTATTGGTATTTCTCCCCCTGTGTATAGTTGATTCAGATCTGTTGCATTCAGGAATATGAAGGTAGTCTAACATTACTTTCTTGTCAGTAGGTCATCAGACCGGAAGTGTTTGAAAATTGGCTACTTGCTATGTGAATAATAAATCATGTTCATATATCACATAAAAAGAATGTGTTGAAAAAAGCATATTAGCATAAAACAAAGAACACATTATTTGAGAAGCATTTGATACTATATATACTAGTTATGTGTAAGATTTTTTTGGTTTGTTTCTTAATGGGCAATTTACAGAACTATTTCCTGGTCTGATTCTATTGTAGGCAGCTATGAATATCTCCAA